TGTTGCCGTTAGTGGTGGATAACTGTGCGTTAACAACGGTTTCATAAAACTACAAAGAAAAAAAAACATGACTTATGTAAAAAAAATCTTTTGTCAATAATATAAAAATAACAACGAACATTCGATCAAAATGGGACCATGTATTAAACAGCCAAGATTGTGATGTTAGCGGTGGTTGACGTAGCGTTTGTTCATTATTCGACATTTCCTAAAAACAGAAAAACAAATATTGAAAATTTCTTAAAATACTTTTTAGTAATCAAATGTTTGAAGCATTAAACAATGGATTAATTACACAATTTTCATTTGTCATCACAAAATTACATGCACAATTCGAAAGCGTGTGTTAATGTAGCGACGTCTATATTAGTTTTACAAATTCATTCTTTTCTACCTGATCTAATAAATTAACAAACGAAGAATCATTATCCATATCGCTTAACAAAGCGATATCATTTTCAGATGAACGCTATAAACACAAATATTTTGACTGAATTATTGTCGTTTCAAAATACTCAAGAGTTTGAGAATACGACTATTCGTTTCATGATGTATAAAGCGTGTATAAATTTATTTCTACGAAAATAAAACACGGAAAACATGGATCACAAACTTTATTACAAGCAAGAACTGTTGCTATATGTTTCGAATGAATGAATTATGTATAAAAATAATACGTACACTGTTGTTAGATACTCGATACTGTTCGGTGCCCTCCAAACTTGGCAACTGCTCACTTTCATCTGTCACGTTCATACTAAAGATAAGTAGCATTAACTAATCTATCTCGAATACTGAATAATAGATTTATATTTTACCGAATTTTAAGCCATCTTAAAACCGGAGCCGTAAGAGTCCCGTTGAACATCACAGTTAAAATAACAATTACTGATGTTGTAGTATACATGAGTGATCTCGCACCCGTAGAAACATTGCGAATTGCTAAAGCAAACGCTACAGCACCGCGAAGACCTATCAAAAAATAATTTAAAATATTCATGGATAAAATCATATAATTTTATCTTTAAATCTATATACCAGCAAATATAATAATAAATTGCCATCTCCAACTAATTGACTTTTTTCTTGTAAAATTTAATAAAAATGATAGTAAAACAACGATCACTATCCTTGCAACAGCAATTGCAATCTAATGAGAAGACAAACAATATTGTTTAACCAATAGAATAATGCGAAGAAAGGAACATACAATTGCTGGTATAATAAATTTTACATCCCAACGATGATTACGAAACGTGAACATTGTAACTCCAATGTAAACAAAAATAAAATTTTCTGCAAGAAAACTAAATAAATCAAATAACTAAAATAAAATAAAAATTTGATAATTTTTAATGTTAGAACGAACATTTATTTCAATCTTACATCTCGAGTTCTCTGTTTTGAATCAGATGATAAATTATTGTAGGTGTAGTGTGCTTGAAATATTCCACAAAATAATACAGCAACAATGCCTAAAATAAAACCGTCTACTTCATTCAATATCCTTCATCAATAACGTCGTTTGTTACCTGTTAAACCAGCTGCTTCCGATGCTAAGAATGTACTATAAGACATTAGAAGAAATAAGGCTGTTTCTAATAATGGAAAATCTCTAATATAGGTAAATTTTGTCATCTAAATAATGCGAATATTTATTATTATTATTATTGAGTAAATTTAAAACATTATATTTTATATACCAATGCTGTTAGACAACCCATACCACTACCAATTGCAAATGAACCAATAAATACAAAGAAAAAATGTCCTAATGATTTTAACATAACAGCTTGATCAAATTTTCCTACTACGGCACCAGCAGCGTATTTATCAATTGAACTAAGCAAGTATAAAAAAATATATCAATTTAGATATACAATAGATAAAGATAATATTACCTAGCAAGTACAAGACAAACAGCATCATTTAATACACTTTCACCAAATATAATAGCGTACAAATCAACATCAACATTCAAATCATTAAATATGGCAAGAACCGTTACTCAAAAAAGAGGAAAAGATGGTAACATAAGCAAATGATTGAAACATAATTCTTACCCGGATCTGTTGCCGATATAATTGCACCAAAATATAACGAATCAGTAAAGGAAAAATAATTTAAATCTTTGAAAAAATGAACAGCTCCATAGATAATACTTCTAAAAGAAAAAGAAAAAGATTATGATAGTTATTTTTCAAATCGTTAAACAAATCTTACCCGGTCAATACACACGCAATTGTTGTTCCTAATAGGGCAAATATCAATATTGCTCCCAGATTTCGAAAAAAATGTCTCTTAATGTACAGATATACAACAATAATTGTTTATAAAAGATGAAACAGTATCAAACTTCATTTAAACATACCCTTTTCATGCTATATCCAGCGTGAAATATAATTGGTGGTAATATAATATTAAAAAATATTTCAGCATCAAATATGGCCTAGAAAGATGGTAAATATATGTTGAACAAAAATTTTCTTCATAGTTTTGCCTTTTTACTCTTTCTTCATTGGTAGGTAATGTATCTTTTTGATAGGGTCCTTTAAATGAATATAAATAAATTGCTGATGTATTTTGATCTCTAGAAAAAAAAATGAACAAATAAAACGCTTATAAGTTATTTAAAATAGGGTATTTTGCACTTACTCAAAATAAATTGTATTTGGAATTGTTTTTGATTGAAATGTGGTATTCATAGGTAAACTAAACTTCATATGTTTTGATTTAGACGTGTTTGTATAACGGATAATGGCACCAATGATAAAACCTTTAGAATGAAACAAATAGATGAGTGAAATATAAATTCTGAAGATCTGTGAATAAAACTGTCAAGATCATTAATATGAAAACTTACCATAAATTAATGCAAGACATGTTTCGTGTATATATCTAAAATTTCTTCGTTTAAATGCCCAAATTGTTAATACAACGGTGACTAATAGTCCAGTAAACAATAATAAGTTTAATGAATCAATGCGATGTACATTTGCTTGTAATTCTTCTTGATTACTTTCTATTTTATCTGCTGCTGATCCACTTGACATGATAATAAAAAAATATGTATAATCAATAAGTGTGAAAATAAATAAATAAATAGATAAATGAAATAATCTGACTAATTTGATCAACAATGAGAATATTATTATCAAATTAAAGAATAATTTTAAAAAAACAAAATGAGAAAAAAGTAAATATTATGTTGAATTGTTCAATGTCGTATGAGAGAGAGAGCGAAAAAAAGAGGGTTTTTTTAAGAAAAAATCTGAAATATAACAGACGACTTTGACATATAACAATTATTCTGTTAGCAGATGAAGAGGACAAATTCCTATACGTCTGCTAATCTAATTTAATTAATTGAAACATTTTTAAACAATAGAATTTAGTTAGCACTGTGTTGATATCAAATTCATAGCAAAACGAAAAACTACGGATGAGAGAGTTGTTCTCATTCATCATCAGTGCCAATTATCGAAATTTGACAGCGAGAAATAAGAAAGAGTCATCTCTGTAAATCATAAGAACTCAAAGATGTATACCTTATCTCTCTTATTATTGGTTGTTATCAGACTCCTTAAACAATTATTGATAAAACTACTGCTCATAGACGATGAGTTTACTTTTTTTTCGCTTAACTTGTTCATAATCTTGTGTGCTTAAGAGGACATTACTATATCATATGAATGAAACGTTAAACCCATGAAATGTAGTATCAATTGCTTTTTAGTTGCTTTAACAGAAAACGTCTTACAATAGATTTTAATAAAAAGATAAAATTAAACTTACACAGTTTACGTGGCAGCTTATGCTATTAACTTCGTTTTTTCTGTTGACTCAAAAACTTTTTTATTCCGTTCCTTAATTGACTCTAATTTATTCTGATAATTAGTGAAATCTTTTTTTATCTCGTTTATAATTTTAGCAGCATGTATCTGATTATCATTATATAATGCACAAGATGTTTGGATTCCATTTGAAGAGTAAACAATAGACTCGATTCACAAAAGGCAAACGAACAATGTAGTGTATTATCTGATTGTATCACAAAACTTTTCCTTTATGTCAAAACAAGAAGAAAACAGTGATATAAATCGTTTAGTTTTTCTGGAATTTTTTTAAGATGATGAACCACGATAATAAGTAAAACAACATATTTTGACAGATCTTGCATTTGAAATCATCTCTTTCATTTCCTTCATCCTCGTCTTCAGCTTAACAGTACAAAATTTTTACAAGTTTGCGTGATACGTATCGAGTTTAATTGAACTAGAAAAGCATCATCGTTTCTGCATTAACTAAGAGAAAGATTAACCTTAACCACCCAACTAGGATGGATATTAGTGGATATCGTAGAATCACTATAAAGAGGTAACCATGCGTTGGATTACAAAATGGATTTTTTTTCTAGTAGAAGTGCATACTATAAGCTAACAATTACTAATAACAAACTCATCAACTCTAAACAAAGGTATGTGAGTTTAAGTTCGCTTTACATACATAATCAGCTGGGTTCAGTAAAGGGCAAAATGAATCAGTATGATTATACCGTATATTTCACTGGCAGATGTCTTTAACATAAAGATATGTATTAACTGGACATTACTATGGGCAACTACAAAACTCGAATTATCCATGAACATGGATAACTAACACAAAGTGTCTATGTAGAACTTTACTTTTACTCCAAACAACTGAACATTCAGTATTTTCTCCTGTTTTTAAAATGAATTGTAAAGATTAAATTTCTAGAGAAACTAACGATCATACATAACGTTATAAAGTGCATTTTTCGAACACAACACCAGTCAGACAGTTTCAATAACGAATTGTTAACGTATTCTAAGCATGCGTAGTAATTTGAAGAAACATACGATAAATATGTTCGGTGAAAAACAGCAGGACATATTCAATAAATCTTGCATAACTATAGGATAAAGATTTCAAACACGCATCAAACACTCATCATCAAAAATATTTCTTGTAATTCTTTCTTAGAATACGAATAAATAAACAGTTTATACAGTAGAAAGTTTTTAAAATAAGAAAATGTTTATGATTCCATGCGAAGAAACGCTAAACCGTTTTATTTCAACTAATATATTTTTGTCCATTTTATCACTCCTCTAGGTAAAACCATTATTAATTATTATCGATATATAATTTACTAAGACCTGAAAGATGAAAAAAATCATTCACATTAAGAACAGATGAAAACATGAGAAAGCAGAAAGCATTCTACCACAATCACATTCTATTATCATTTATAGATCAAATATTTGTTGAGCTGGTGTTAATTGCGGTGAATAAGCAAATTCAGCTAGACTGGCAAGATATGGCATAAATCTTGCACACTGAATATAGATAAATGAAAACATTTGGTAATACAACAGACTTTGATGTATGCTTTGACGCATATGATCAATTCCTTCTCCAACTAACTGTCGTTCATTTAATAAGATTTTAACAATATTTATCCAAATAATATTCCATTTCTCACATATAAAATGAAACTTTCAGCACACACGAGTATTAGACGTTATTTTGATGACCGTTTATTAAATCTATTCCAAATTTTGCTTCGATACTATTCGTAATCTTGGATTTATTTTTGTCTAACCAACACCAATTTTTGTGCGTCTATCGCCCATGTTTTGCTTACCAATCTTTGAACAAAATAATGAGCATTTGCATTTTGAACAAACGGTAAGCACGACAAGTTTCGATTTAAAACAATTGGGTTTTTTCCCGGTAGCCGTCAGGAGCCACTTTCTACATGAAAAGACGTAGAAAATGACTCCTGACGGCTATCTTTGACGGCTAGCGGGAAACAACCAAACAATTGTGACATTTGAGTAACGATTTTTATTTGACATGAGATTGATTGATTTAATCAGTTTAGCTTATTTCTGCTATTGGCTCATTTTGAACGAATAACACGAAGTCATCAGGCAGGCAGGATTGGTATGGTAGATGGGACTAGAGTAGCAAAAACTAGGATGAGATAGGATCCCAATGATTAGAAACTTTTTGTTGACACTATTGAAAAAAAGATTTATTTTTTGATCACTGAAACCTCGAAAAATATTTTTTGTATTACCTCAGATTAGTCGACTCTCAAATTCGCAAATTCATGTACTGATACGACCTAATCTGAGGCTTAATGCCTTCAACAGCGAGAGCCATTGTTTCCTTTTAGCTCCAAATAGTGGCTCCAAGAAGCTATGATCAATGCCAATTGACGTAGACGGTCTCTTCTCGGAGCTAAAATGAAACAACGGTCGAGAGCACGGCTAAATACTTCTACACATAATAATAATTCTACACATTCCAAGTCTTTCAGTGCTTCCTGTGTTGATAATGATCGAATGATATGAGAAATGTATCATGTATAAATCGTTTATTGACAAGAACAGTGAAAATGAAATAAGTTTTGAATCTTTTCGAAATCTCCTTTCTGATTACCACAACTCCGTCCAGGAAGTTCTCCCTGTGGCTAACATTTTCAAACGAAAAATAAAAATAGAATTACTAGAGCATATTCATGTGGAGCATACTGTCTTTGAGAAATTTCTATGCTATTAGAAATTAATGAGAAAAATTAATTTCTTTGAGTAATTTTTTATGCTAAATTCGAATCCAAAATGTCTACATTCATAAGTAATCCAAACATTTTTTTTTTTGAAATAGTAAAGTTTGATGAGTTCTATAATACACAATTTAAATTATAGAGTCATTGCAGAGTAAAATCAATACAAAACAAGCATTGAAAGTTACTTAAAACAGATCATTGATAACGTTATTTATCAGCAGTTTTGCAGTGACATTAAAATGCAGATATCTCAGAACGCGCATCGAGTTCGAAGACTGCGTATTCGAATTTATGTACAAAAACGATACAAGATCTTGAGTACAAGAAGTTTCACTAGAATATTCTTTTCTCTATATACATCATTGGGGATATATTTGCACTTCTTCCCTAGAGAACGTACTTGATGCAAGTACTTGCTAAGTACTTGTCATTGTTCGAAATACTTCCCTTATTGCTAAGAAGTACTTTCTCAAAGTACGTGGCAAGTAAGGACAAGTACTTACAAGTGTATTTACTTCTGGAAAAAAGGCAAGTACCGACTTCATTACGCAGGCGAAATACTTGGCCCCAAGAACGTTCTCTAGTGTTCTCTCTCTCGCTAACGGTTTTTCTCTTCAAGAATAGTGCAGTCTTCATTTTGCGGTCTACTTACTAACTGAACTTAAATCTTCAGAATATTGTTGCTCATCTTTAACTGTTTTCCAAAAAAAAACACTTTTCAATTTTCTTTTTTCTGAATGTTAAATATTAGCCATGTTTCATTATTCTTAATTAATTTAGTTATCTGTTCTATGATTATTTTTTTATCTTATTTGTTTTATCTCTTTTTAAAATTCATATCTAGTTGTATGTATGCGTATTTTGTTATCTGATTATATGTTTGGTAGGGATTATTCCCTGACAGATCGGAGATCTTTGGTGATCTATCATTTTTTGTGAATAAATTCTAAAATACAATTGAGATGCTTAGGATTGAATGTTTTTTAGGTTCTGAACTTAAAATTATTTTAATCAAATAAAAAGTTGATGAAGAAAAAACAGTGGCGGAGCGACCGTTTGTGTGAGGGGTGTACACATCCCCTACTTTCAAAAATTTCGTTGGAAATTTGCTCCGATTTGAGCCAAAAGTGCAGGGAAACTTACTCCAGTTTTGTGAAAGAATGGAGTGAGTTTACTCTGATTCTGGCAAACTTTTGATTGCAACTTTGAGATACGTCAAATATATATCTAATCTGGAATTAAACTTTATATAGTCGTCGTATATGATTATGAAATTTGTCCACTTGATTTATTGAGAAGACACAAAAATAATTAGTGTAGTCATTCTGTTTTCTGCTATAAAATTGACTGCACTAATTAGACAGAACAGGCTAATGATTAATAATGGATATTGTATCTTTTCGTTTTTGAACAGCTGTCACACTATATGAAGGAATAATAAAAAAATGCTATTTC